GCACATAAAGAAATGCTCAATGTCCTTAGTCATCAGAGAAATGTAAATCAAAACATCTCTGAGATTCCATCTCATACCACCAGAATGGCTAAGATCAAAAACTCAAGTGAGAACACATGCTGGAGAGGATCTGGAGAAAGGGGACCCTCCTCCATTGCTGGGGGGAGGGCAAACATGCTTCTCTGGAAATCAATCCGGTACTTTCTCAGAAAATCGGGAATAGTTCCACCTCAAGACCCAGCTATTCCACTCTTGGGCAGACACCCTTAATACTGCTCCATACAACAGGGATATTTGCTCAACTATGTTCATAGTGGCTTTATTTGTGACAGCTGAAATCTGGAAATGACCTACATGTCCCTCAACCAAAGAACACGATGGTCTTAAATAGGAATTAGCGTTGGATCTAACCTTGGAGTCGGTTGTTTCTAGATTATGGGATATATATGAGTTTTGCACCAGATGGAACTAAGTGTTGGCAGGAGAAGCAGACACACGCCCCTTCCCTCGTCCAATTGATAACCACTTGCAAATGACGCCTTTGGACCTCATAGCTGTTTTAGTTCTGTGTCCCTGCCAATGCTTTTCTCCACACACAACTGTGAGCATTTAAAAGCAAGTGCTGCATTTTCTTGCTTAGCTCCCCCTGTCCTATAAAATACTTTGCTTTGGTGGAAAACTGAACAATTCAAACTTTGCACAACTGAAGCCTATGGAGTTGAATTGAATAAAAGGAGCTAATTCATCTTCTCTTTTAATGATCTATATTTTCTAATAATAAAAATAAAATAAAAATAATGCAGAAATACTTTTCTTTAGCTAACCCCCCTGAAGAATCTAACGGAGTGACTGAGACCTGAGCAACAATGGCATTTATCAATTTCAGTAAAGTAGATGCCAATTGAGAAGACTAAAGTGACGGGACAGGAAAAGAGAACAAAGCATTAAAGCAGATTTTCCTTTGCAAGCTTAGGAAACATTCAGTTTGCCAACTCATGCACTATGGGTTTATTTCCCAATAATCATTCCAATAACCACAAAACACTTTCTGGCAGTGCTAGTAATTTTGTTTCATAGGAAAATATACATATGAAGACTAACAGAAATAAGCCCAACTTCTGAAAGACTTTGTCAGGCGGCTGATGGACGCAGCTGTAGAGAGCCAAGGCCAAGCAATGAGCCAAGCTCGGAGAGTTCTGTGGAAGAGAGGGAGGAAGGATAGAGGGAGCAGGAGGGGTCAAGGACACTGCAAGAAGATCTACAGAGTGAACTAACATGGGTCCGTGGGGGCTCACAGAGACTGAACCATCCACCAAAGAGCATGCATGGGCTGGACGTAGACTCCTACACATATGAGCAGATGTGCAGCTTGGTCATCATGTGGGTCCCCCAACAATGGGAGCAGGGGCTGTCTCTGGCTCTGTTACCTGCCTCTGGGTCACTTTCTCCTCTCTGGGCTTCCTTGTCACTCCCAGGTGGGAGAGGATGTGCTTAGTGTGTCATGACTTGCGATGCAGGGTGGATTGGTACCAACTGGGACTCCCCTCTTCTGGGAGGAAAGAGAGGGGGTAGTGGGAAGAGGAGGGTGTGGTGGGGGGACTGGGATCAGGATGCAAGGTGATTAAATAAATAAATGGAGAAAAAGAATAACAAATAGAGTGCGAAAAATAAATCTCTCTAAAAATACAAAAGAGAAGGAAGAGGAGGAAGAGGAGGAGGAGGAAAGAAGCCCTAGAGTGTACAATGACGTGGCCCCATTTGCACAACCGAGGATACTTACCAGATGATGCAAAGAACTTTTGCTTCATAAAAGGTTAAACCAACTTGTTGGTCTGAGCCTCAAAAGTTGCCACTTTCACAGTCAGCTTTAGCAAAGCTTGGACAGTCTGGCTGATTTAATCATATCAAATTTGACTTCTGAGTCTCTGAAATGTATTTCAGGAAAAAAAGAATGGATACTGAAATACCTCTGGGTGTCAACTCATTCTTCTTATTTGGAGCCTTTAAGCTAATGTGCTGCTGTGTGTAATAGCAGCCAGTTTTCCTTTCTTTCAACATGGCGAAAATCCTGTATAATTGTGTCAGTTTAAATGCTTAAGTCTTTTGCTATTTATTTTATTTGAAACACAGTATATTATTATATATATTCTGAACTCTTAACTACCATCTTCTTCTAACCTTCAATTAAATCCCACAATGCAAACCTCTTGGCACTAGACCCACCTTTTATGTTTATTCAACTGAGCCTGAATCTTGAAAACGTGTTGAAGTTTGGGATTTTTCTGGTGAGAACCCACAGCCTGACATCACACTGGCCTTGGCCCTGATTGGCTGTTGAAAGGCAGAGAAGGGTTTATAGTCAGCAAGAGCAAGTGAATGAGTGAGTGACAGCCGAGGGAACAATCCGTGCCACTCACTCACTCCTGCCAGGACTGCCGAGGGGTAAGGCTTAACGAGCGGGCTTTTCGCCTCACAGCCAGACTTGGAGTTTGTAATAGAAAGGTGGATCTTACCGCATTGGGCACAATGGCTCGGGCTGAACTTTTGCTTGCTATGAAACAGGACCTCTGAGATTCTTTCCACCAGGCTTGCTGACCTAACCATGCAGATAAACTGTTCAGACTGGTAACATGAACTAGTAAATTATGCATCTTACTGTCTATTTCTCCATATGCCGGCCAGCCATTTTTCTCATGATGATGCATTCAATGCAATCTAATTGCAGTGCTATTTACACTTATGAATTGCCTAGATATATGGATTTTCCATAAAGTATAACTAATCTGTACTTCAATAATACGCAAGATCTTTTCAATATGTTCTGTATTAAATTTCAAAGTGTTCATATTCTGTAGCTCTAAAATCAATATGAAAATGTATGCCACTAGAGAAGTAAATGACTTTGCAACTTATTTGTAATTAAGTGTTTAATATGACCCATTTAAGAATGTTTGAGTTGCTTAAGTCAGCAGGGGCCACTACAGAAGTCTCTGCTGTTTGATGAATCAAGAAGTAAGCAGGGTGAGACCAATGTGGGCAGCCAGTTGAGGTATTCACATTTCATTTGCTGTTTTTACATATAAAATATTATCCCTTCCATGCTTTCATTCTGTCATGTTTTCTTGTGGGAATTTTTTATTCTCACAGCCTTGTCTACAGTTCTGTATATTTAAGTTTTTAGTTTTTTGCATATTATAAATATTACATTTCAATGAAGCTATAAAGCAACATTCTTCCTCCTCCTTCTTCATTGCTATTGTTATTGTTTTTGATACATAGAATCTCATGCAGCTTAGACTTGCTTCAAATGAACTAATAGCCAAGGATGTCCTTGAACTCCAGATTCTCCTCATCTACCTCCTAAGTATATGTAACACCAGGACTGGCTACCCTGATCTTCCTAACAGGCGGTCCGTCCTCATGGACCAGCCCCCTCTATTCCTCTAAGTTTGTTAAACTATTCTCTCTCTCTCTCTCTGCCTGTCTCTTCCTCTCTCTCTCTCTCTCTCTCTCTCTCTCTCTCTCTCTCTCTGCTGCTTCCTTCCTCATTTCCCTCCTTTGTTTACACATAAACAAATAAGAGAGATTCCAAGACACAAGTTGGAGAGGACACTGAAGACGTGTGTACAAATCAAAATTCCCACACCAGCAGTGCTTCTCATGCCGTACTCTGTGTAATGGTCGTCTTAGTGTCTAAGGCTCAGAGTAGATGCAGCGAACACCAATGATGAGGAAAAAATACAAAAAAAAAAATCCCCCAGAGCGCGCAACACATGACATGGGTTCTGCACACTTAAAATCCCTCTTTACAAATGTATTTGGAGAAATTGCTGTTCCCATTATATCGCCAAATTGTCACTGTGTATGAAGCAGCGCCCATCAGCTATGGGGCAGCAGGCGGCAGGGTTCCAGCTGCATTTGTTCAACCTCGAGAGGACAGTTTTGAAATAGAAATATAGGGTGATGTTTCAGTGTCTGCTCCTGTTTCTGATGAAGCTGTGTGGATGTGGGGAGTTGCTGCTGCGCCCCAGGACTGTTCAGTGCTAGCCACCTGCTGACAGTTGCTTCTTTGATCGCTCCATGGAGCTCCATGGACACCTATCCCAGTTCTCCCTCCACCGACGGATGGAGAACTTAAATGGAGCCGAGGAGACCAAGTGGAGAAGATTTATCTGACACCTCCAGTTGTTTCTCTCCTCCCTCCTTTCTCCTCTCTTCCTCTTTCCTTCTCTCTCCCTTCTCCCTCTCTTTCCCCTTCTCTTCTCACTCTCTTCCTTCTCCTCTTTTTTCTCTCCTTCCCTCTTCTTCTCCCCTATCTCTTTCTTCCTCCCTCCCTCATATTCCTTCCCTCTTCCTCCCATTTTTTTCAGGCCCCCAGCCAACTATGAAGTATTCAAAGGCATTCATAGGAAAAAGGCCCCACTGCCTATTTTAAGAATGAAATTTCAGTTCAAAAGTCCATGCACAGAAGCTGGAAACTTGTGGTAGTCCACGGGTAAATGAACCCTTGTAAAACATTTGAGCTTTGCTTGAGTTTTAGCTATTAGCAACTGAACAGGGCACACGTTTGCACTGAAAGACCAGCTGGTGTGGTTGGCATTTCCTTGTCAGTGGTATGTGGTGCTTTCTCCACCCCAGTGTGAAGCACCCCAGGTATTTGGATCTGGGTACAGGGATCCAATGTCCTCGACTGAAATTTAAAAAAAAAAATCACAGAAAAACGGGTGAATCAAATGTGGCACCCAGGGTCATTCAGCCACATCTACAGCCTCAGTGGAAACAAACACAGACTTCTTCAAGGCTAGGGGTCAAACACGGGTCCTCATGTGTGACAGGCAAGTACCTGCCTAACCTCTCCAACCAGAAAGTAATTATCATTCGTTCAAATGAGAATTAGGCAAAGTAAAATCAATTGATTCATTTATGAGCCAATCAGCCATGCACTATGCTTTAACATGTATTAATTATATCCCTTTTTTGATTGCAGAAGTGATTCCAAAATGAAGACTGCTTTAATTTTGCTCAGCATTTTGGGAATGGCTTGTGCTTTCTCCGTAAGTTCATTGTGGAAAAACATATCTTTGGTAGTTATACATTTTTATGTAAACAGGGCATGTAACAGTAAAATTTTCTTCTGAACAGATGAAAAATTTGCATCGAAGAGCCAAAGTAGAGGCTTCTGAAGAAAATGGGGTAACTGACCTTAGAACATTTCTCTAGCCTGTGCTGATTTTAACGTGAGTGTCACTAAGATGACGATGCCATTTTCTTACTTGTGCAGGTCTTTAAGTCCCGGCCACACTATTTTCTTTATAAGCATGCCTACGTTTATCCTCTAAAACGGTTTCTAGTTCAGGTGAGTGCAAAACTTAATTTTCCTTTCCACTCATTTAAACTTTTATTACAGGGACCAAGTTTAAGTCTCAAAAATCTAAATTTACCTTCAACACAATTCATCCAAAAGGACTTCTTGCTATGAATGCTTGAAATATATATATGTATATGTGTGTATATGTATGTTTGTATGTATGTGTGTATGTACATATATATATGTTTTCTTTCAACACAAGAGACACAGCACACAGAGTTAAAGCAGTGAGGTAATAAAAGCAAGTACTATTACAGGTAGAGTTTAAGTGTTTAGCTAACCTGCTGACAATAGGTGAACCATTTTATCACCTATTGACAATAAAGCCACTGATAAGGTCACTAATTGTCTTTAAGCTGATTTGCATGTTTGCTTCTGTAGTTCACCATGGAGACAATCTGTAGTAGACCTGCTGATGGTGACTCAGTACTGTCATACAGCTGTTCACTTCTGACTTTTCAGCATCCTCTCAAGGTGGACAAGCTAAGGTCATGGGCACCAGAGACTTCCAACAACAGTCTTGGTAACTCAGTGTCAGCTATCATCATTCCTGGACCCCTCACCTTGTTGAGTGGCAGAGCTGTATGCACAAGGAGCACAATTATGAGGGGGTCTGGCCCAAGCACCGCAGAGGAAAGAGAGAAACATGTGAAATGTAGGAAGCCTGTGAGAAAACACACACACACACACACACACACACACACCAAAATTTGTAAACAAGAAGGAAAAATAAGTAAAGCTAAAAACGAGACAGCCCATTATTGCTGTGTTATTTGTAAAAGAGGCTTCTGCATAGCGGAGGGAGGGTGTGGTAATGATTTTTAAATACACAACTAACTAGAGTGACACTATTTTTGTTACTGTACAGTTTGGGTCCACAGCCTCAATTATGTCCATTTGACCCGGGACTTCCCAGGCAATGAGAGCAGAGGATGCGAGAACGCAGCCTCGGTGCAGCGGCCTGGCTTCGAGCCTCAGCATATGTCAGGCTGACCTCCTCTAGCCCATGCAATGATAGGAAATCATGACCCTCAAGTATTCCTAGCACCATTTTAATTATAGGGAACTTGTGTGGCCGCAGAAATGATGATACAATGAATTATAGGGAACTTGCGTGGCCACAGAAATGAATGATACAAGAGCTGTGGCTTTTCAGAACTGCCTTCCAGTCTTTGGTTCACCTCAGGCCCAGAAATAAGCAGGGTCCATTTGGAAACTTGTTCCCTTTCTAAAACAGAGATGATAAAATTTCTAGTTCTTAAGTAGCTGGCGAACTTTTGTAAGATATCTAATATAGATATAGCCATTCCCTCCTAGATACTTTTTATAGATATAGCTCCACAGTATAGCAATATTGGTAAAGTCACACTTTTTATTACTGGTAGGCTCAAAGTCCATCGAAGTAAAATACACACACACACATACACACACACACACACACACACACACACACACACACACACACACCCATATACACATATGAGGCTTGATCAAGTTAAGCAGAACTTTTAAAATGAAGTTCTACATCAAATACGACTTTCTGAGGTATTTGTGACAAATTCCTGTTTTTACAAAGTTTGGTTTCTCCTAACTTCTGTCTGTGTCTATTTGTCCTCATGATCCCATGCGATACATTTTATTGACTTTGAAATTTATGTTCTAGTCAATAAATCTGTTTATGGGCAGTCACCCCTAAAACACCAACTTGCATGTAATGCATCAGATGGGTTGCAAGTCTACTATAGGTTGTCTCCATGATGAACTGTAGAAAATAAGTCTAAGTCAGCTTACTTTAGTATCCTATGCTGTTTTAGTGTAACCAAAAATTACATTTTATGGTGAAGATGGTATTTTATTAATGTGCCAATATAGTGATTCAAAACAGTAACAAAACAAGATACAAACCCTCAAGGCATTCCATATGGCGTTTAAAAGGTTCCCAACACACACACACACACACACACACACACACACACACACCCACACCAATAATAGAACATTAGTTGAGTTAGGGAGAAAATTAGAAGAAAGGAAGCATGAAAAATATCTAAGATACTCCCAGCTAAGAAAAACAGCTCTGGCTATTTAAATATATGGTCTTCTATATTTTATTTAATAAATGGAAATAGTTCAAATATAATGGTTTGTTTTATTCCCCTCTGGGTGTGGAACAGCACAACTACGAGTCATGGCAGTACAGGGAGGGCCTAAGAATTCTTTTTCCACCCAAAGTTATTATTGGCCCCAGGCAGCAAGCATTTCACTTCCTTGGCTGGCTGACGTGGCCGCCTGAAGCATGAGGCCGGCAGGACTGCTGTCAGCCGCACAGGGATGGCCTTCCTGCAGTCTCACCAGAAGATAAGGGTCTTTCTGCACCATGTTATCCAGGGGCAGGAAGCCCAGCCGATCGTCAGAACCAAAGCTCACACAGATAAGCCAGAAAATAGAGGAAGATTCACTTTAGGTTATCTTTGGCAGAAAGGTTATGAATTTCCTCTCTTAGAGTTTTTGATGCTTGTATAGAGTTCATTTAATTTTTAAAAAGAAGAAATCTCAGAATTAGGGTATGTCTAATGTGTAGTGTTTGCTCTGACTGTGATCCACAGCCTTGCAAGAATATTAAATAAAATAAATAAATAGATAGATAGATAGATAGATAGATAGGAAGAGAAAGAAAGAAAGAAAGAAAAAAAGAAAGAAAGAAAGACAGAAAGAAAGAAAGAAAAGCAACAACAGGAAGACCCCAGGAAAGCTCATTGACTCATGGTTTATATGTAGAATCCTTGGTTTAATTATTATCATCACACCAAATCATAAGTGCTTTTATATATTTTATCTAATTTAACCATGTATATACCAGTTATTTTAAAGTTAGTTTTAATTAAATTGAGAAGCTGGGGATACAAATTTAATTCCTTTAAATCAAATTACAATTTAGATTGCAGTATTTAAGAGAATTATCAAATAACAGTTTACACTTTTTGGTAAGCTAAACCAATATCACTGATATTTTGTTAAGAAAATTAGACGATTGAAATCTATGTGCTTACAGTTGGTTGGGGAAATCACACAGTTTTGGATGGTTTCTTCTTGGAGAGATGTCCTCCTGCAGAGATCCTGCATTCTTTCAAAATTAAGCAATCTGACTTGTTATTTTGGGTTTTTACATAAAATGTATTACGTGAACACACTACATGTGTTTGGGAGGGTGACAGCGAGTGTCCTCGTCCGCACACTGTTCATCAGTTCTCGTTTCATGTGTGCCCAAATGGACTTACCCTTCACTCCAGCGTCAGCAAATCAGTCAGGCGGACGGCACTGTCAGTGTCTCTGTGTTATAGTTTAATTATCAGGGGGACTTTAATTCTTGTGGCGTGTGTATGTATGCACCGTGTATATACACACACGTGCACCCACTTTGTGTGTACGTGTGTTTTAGGGAGGCAGCGACTCTTCTGAGGAAAACGAAGATGGCGACAGTTCGGAACAGGAGGAAGAAGAGGTAAGCCGCCCTGAATTCCTTCCATGACAAGCCAGGCAGCGCGAGGAAGCGACAGGAAACTCTTCTGTGAGTTCTGGACTTGGCAAATGGCCACTGCCACCTTGCCAGCTACTCATTACCTGCTATTTTGGACAGGTTGAATGTTATTTAAATTAGAAACAACTAAAATAAGCTGCTTCAGACACCATTGCAATTTGGGGTTAAAGTTACCTAGACGTGGCACATACACACAAAAATAGTGTCTGCATTTTAAGGGAAGTGCAAAACCCATTAAAAAGCAGCATGGCATCCGTTTATTTGTACTTGGTGCCCATGACAGTAGGTGAGAAAGAGGTAAATTCTAAACGTGGTGTGACTCGCCTCCCTTGGTGGACACTATATGAAGTGCTAGCTCTACCGTGGTGCCCTGATCTAATCTACTGAATACAGTTTGTCTCTTTAATAATAATTTAATAGGTTTTTTCCTTATAATTAGGTTGAGACCAAAATATTCAAGACATATAAACATCTTCCTAAAGAGTTAAAATTACTGTAATTTCATGGCTTAAATCCACTTATATAGCTTGTAAATATGCCATTATATTTATAACTGACACCCTTGACTAAGGAAGCATACCATTAGGATATATTCTCCTGGGTAGTCAATTATGGCTACTCTTGAATTAGGAACCTTCTAAATTCGGGTGTTTCTGGGTGGTATTTATGAATAGGAAATGGCAGTAAGAAATGGAACATCTGTGTTGCTCTCCTGGAAGCAAAAGATGTGGTAACTTGAAGGTGATGAAGTATTAGGGTTTTTTTTTTTTTTTCTTTTGGCTAAGTAATGTTTCCTGACCACTTGAGGGAAGGCCTTAAAATAATGCCAAGCCAGGGACAGAAAACATTTGTGCACTGCTTCCTTCACAGTCTTGCTGTAGTTCAACCATTCCCCCAAACTGAGACTCATCCATCTGACTGTAGGTATTTTCTGCCCAGCGACTGTGCAGCAGGCTTTGCATGTCTCAGTTACGCCATGAATCTCTACACGGCAGTTCTCTGCTAGCTGTGGTGGAGGTGATGGTGGATACAGAAGGGTCAGGCCTCTGACAAAGTCACGATACGCAAAATGTTGCCGGCCGTCTCTGCATATATAGGTCCCGCCATTTCTTCTATTCACATCCCCTCAGACCCAAGACGCCCGTGTTAAACTCTGTTTAAGCAAAGAACTGTTCTGTGCCCCCTCCTGTAGCTGCCCACACTCTCTAGCTTAATTCTGATGCACAGATGGTGCCCGGGAAATAGTTGATGATTTGGTTTTGAAATGTCAAAGGAATAGATGCTCCGAAGACCACCCACTCTCAGTAATCATAGAGAAGCGGGCAGATTCAGAAATCTTCCATCTGCAAGATTCCTGGCATTCTTTCATCGTCATTTCTTCTTTAAAACTTAATTCACGGTTCCAGTTAGGTACACAGCCCCCAGGAATTTTGTTCACATGAGGAAGCTACTTGGGACCATTTTATATTTGAGAATAACAACCCCCACCCCTCAAATTCACACTAAAATTTTTAAGTTTTTAATTTTGTATTGGAACATACATGATAACATTATCAGCTCCTTGAAACTTCAGAAACTGAATATACAGATAAAATTAGCACTAATATAAAAAATGGCTTATGCTTAATATTTCATTAATCAGCTCTCACCTGGACTACCATGACTAACTTTAACTGAACAGGTTGGCTTCTGCTTGGGTTTTTTTTCTTAACACAATACTTTCTATATACAGCACATCTACATATTCTATATATAGGATGACATGGTACACATTCTTTTGTAAGAGGCTTCTGTTGTTTTGACCTTCAAAGATTCTTCCATATTTTCTTATTGAGTGCCAACACTATCTGTCAGTATTTCACTGTATAAATGCGTTGCAACATCTGATTTATTTGAATATGGGCATTTGGGTAGATTCCAAATTAGGATTGCTACATACGTGATTCTAGGAACATTCTAGAACTTCTTCAAGTGACTATATGCACTGATTTGGGGAGGCTATTTTACTTAAAAGTATAGTTTCTGAGTCAAAAGGTGTGCTCATGTCCAACTTTAGTGAATGTGACCAATAGGCTTTCAAAAGTAGAACAACGAACTCCCCACCCTCAGCTCCACATTCTTGAGAGCACTTGTCTATTTCATTAACTTTGGCCATTCTGGGGTTAATAGATCTTAACATGTGTGGATAACTTTTCTATCTACTAAGACACCTGGAGTCTGAGACTGAGCCCCAGGCCCACCCAGTTCCCTTCTTAGTTCGCTTGCACAAGAACATTCTTCCATTAAGTTTCTGAGCCACCAAAGGACAGTAGAGGAGAAGCTGTGGACGTTGGGAGAGTGGCCACTCTCAGTCTTGACCCTGCCACCAGTGAATTGTCACCCACTGGACTCCTTCCAAGTGGCTGTGTCACTACACTGCAGCTTTTCACCGATGAAATGAGGGTACAGGAGCCGACTAACACAGTCTCTGAGGCTCAGACTCTTCTCAGTGATGCTAGTGATTTCTCCTTACAGCACATGCTAGAACCAATCTTTTTTTTTTTTTTTTTTTTTTTTAACTGATAGCATAGCACTTGTGAGCTATTGGGCTCACTTAGCTTGGAAGGGTAGATGTGAGTTGTACCAAACACTTCACAGGCACTACAGAATTAATGAGAAAAAAATCTTGCTTTAGTCAATTTGTTTCCATGAGCCAGACCAAACCCGGATTTAGTTTGTCTTGCTGAAATCTTAACATGATCCTAACATCACAATCCCCCAGAGATTCCTTTCAAGTAAATTCAACTGTCCGGTACTCATTTAAAAACGACGACTTAAATATCTGAAAGCCAGACTTGTACCAGCAAGTGTTAATTATATGATAGACTAGCTCACAGCATAAATACAGGAATAAAGTGTTAAAGGTCACAATGCACATTTGTTCAAGTCTTAGGGTTTAATCATCCTCATGTAACAGCTTTATACCCGACTGTGAGTTTCAGGTCCAGAAGAAACAGTTGTGCACCAAATATCTAAAGCGCAAATACTGTTGAGATGATCAAATAGAAAACATGAATAATTGAAGCATCCCACCAGCTGACAAATAGGATTAGCTGACGTTGAGTTCTTAGAAATCAGAAGGCAAATGGCACAGAGGGAGACAGTGGCAAGGCAGCTGAGGACATTTCCAGTTAGTGCCTCAAAGCCCCAACAAATCTTGACCTTTATTCCAGCCATGATAAATTTTGAACTCTGAATATTTTCACCAGGAGACTTCAAATGAAGAGGAAAACAATGAAGAGTCTGCTGGGAATGAAGAGGAAGAGGCTGAGAACGTCACACTCTCTGCTGTGACACCCAGCTATGGCACGGAGGCCACAACTGGAGATGGGGCTATGGAGTTAGCTGCCCTCCAGCTGCCTAAGAGGGTAAGGAACCCCAGACGTTCCTTCTACTTTCATCTCTGCTGATGTCCACGTTCCCCTGACACTATTCACATATTTGATACCTTCTTAACTTAGGTTATTATTTCATTAAAGAAGCAGGAATAGATATACTTTCCCTGATAACAAACGAGGAACGATATTCTCTAAGTTTCCTTCCCAAGCTATTACTTGACAATGTACATCATAGCAGAAGCCAGCAGCAGGTACAGCATACTGGACGTAATGGGCAGAGAAGCAGCACCCTACATCAGAACCCACATGGTAGGATTCTCGGGTACACCCCCAACCCCTCTGAAGTTTGTTGTTGTTGTCGTCAAATCTTTCACAAATTAAATTCTCTTCAACTCAAAACAGCACCCTTTAAAAAAGGCCCTCGGTACAGAAGCCCTGAGTTTTTCACAATAAGGTCTGGATGATTCCAAACTTCCCTTTGTAGGCCGGAGATGCAGAAGGCAAGGCTGCAAAAATGAAGGAAAGCGACGAAGAAGAAGAAGAAGAAGAAGGAGAAGGGGAGGAAGGGGAAGAGGAAGGAAACGGAAACGAAGAAGCGGAGGTGGATGAAAACGAGCAGCTCGCCAACGGCACCAGCGCCAACTCCACGGAGGCGGACGGCGGGAACCGCGGCAGCGGAGGGGGCGTCACCCCCACGGCGGGCAGCGAGTGGACCACCGAGGCCGCCGCGGCGACTGCGCGCCCGACCCCAGCGCCCGAGGCCCTGGAGCCCACCGCCGCGCCCACCGGGAAGAGCACTGCCGAGTACTGGGGAGAGTACGAGCAAACGGGCAACAACGAGCTCACCACGGGCGAGTACGAGGTGTACGACCAGGAGCAGGGGGAGCCCCCTCGCGGGGATAACTACCGAGCCTACGAGGACGAGTACAGCTACTACAAGGGGCGTGGCTACGACGGCTACGACGGCCAGGAGTACTACTACCACCAGTGAGGGCACCCCACCCCGGGGGCACGCGCCCCGAGCCGGCAGTGTCAAAGTCCAACTCAGGAAGGTGTGACGGGTGTGCGCTTCGCGGTGCGGAAGGGTGCTACGGTCCCGGAGGGATTTCCGCAGAGGCTTCTGTTCGTGGCCGGCTTCTTCGTCACTCCCCCCCGGGTGTGTCGCCGAAGGGACATTGTAAATCGGGGCCACTGTCAAGCGGGGTCCCCCCACCCCCGAGCTTTGAGCTGGGACTGGATGCAATGCTTTGGGGCTGCAGCTCTGCAGCGTTCGTGCTGGGCACACAATTAATTGCTGACACGCTTTGTACCAGAAGGCTCCTGAAGAGAGTTGCCGAGCGCGGTACCCAGTAACTGTGTAGTTCCCTCATCACACCTCCTCTCCAGTCTTGTTAATAGGTTTAATTCTCATGCTCGTGTATTTTATGGGACCTGTACACCTGGGTTTTTATCGAAAATAAACGTGCAATCCTCTGAGCTTGTTGTAATTAAGTACACAGCATAATTAAGTTTAATTAACTAAACCCTCGAAATGCACGCGGGTTTAAGGGGCGTGCAACAGGGCAGCTACAAAGGAGCACTTGCTCCTGGCTAAGGCCTGCCGCCTGAGGGCAGAATCGGCCTTACACACCAGGGAACAAACGGCTGCTCTCAGAGGCGCCGACTTTAACAAACATGAGCACACGCTGTGAGCCCACCTGGCCTTGAACTCCAGACACACGATGGTTGGTCTGTAATGCCCCCGCCCCCACTAATAATCAGTCTCTGAAACATCTGGAACCAATGCGCTCTAAACAAACGACTTACCCTCTGCCTAATGCTCAGCTGTGGCTGGGGTGTGTGTGTGGGGGTGTTCTTCAGGTGAGCCTTTCCCTACAACATCTGATTTTAAGTGGGGTAGGGCCTGCGTGGGGGAGTCAAACACTTACACACATACAAGAAAACACACAAACTGCATGCACACACATAAACACACAGAGTACACACAAATATACATAGACAAACACACACAAACCACACACACTTGTAAACAAACTACACACACACACACATGCAAACACACACACAATCACATACACACACACACACACACAGTTAGTTACAAAGTCTTGACAGCAACTGACTCCTTCATATAAGCCTAAACGAAAACTTGGCGTGAGCGTAGAGACGGTTGAAAGAAGCACGAGGAGATGACAAGAAGTCACGCTTCCTTCGGTTTCTTCGTTATAAAGCAGGCCAGCTCACAGTCAGTGTTCAGATATCAGCAAGTGAAGAAGTAGACCTGTCAGAGCGGCCTCAGTTTGGCTGTGGACAGTTGCACCATCTCCTGTCCCCGACTTTAACAGAAAAGTTGGAACACCTGAGTACAACATCTCAGCTCCTGTCAGCTGTCACTGCCCTGGATTCTTTTCCTGGCAAGAGGAGCTACATCTTAGAGGGAAAGGTGCTCACGTCCCCTCGCAGTTCAAGGGTGCCATTGTGGCGGAGACGGCAAGGCAGCTGCAGTCTGAACCCACAGCTCAAGAGCGGGAATGTGTGCAGCTGCCCAGTTGCTTTTCTCCACCTGCAGTCTAGGACTCCCGCCAGGGAATGGTGCTGCCCACAGGGGGTGTCTTCTCCTCTCAGCTAACAAGATCAGGACAGTCCCCAGCAGGCGTGGCCAGACACCAGTCTCTCAGGTTATTTTAGATCCTGTCAGGTTGATAATTAACACTAATATTAAATGCAGGACTGGTTAACATTCTGAAACATTTATCCTCTCTCTCTCTCTCTCTCTCTCTCTCTGACTGTGTGTGTGTGTGTGTACAATTCTTGGCAAAACCTTTGAAGAGTTTGTGGAGATCATGGTGTTTTGTTCCTGAATATTTCAGAATGTGCTATAAGAAGGAGGGCTTCTCCAGCAGGGTGGCATATGTCTGCCATCCTGGAAGCCTGGTGCAGCAGGATGCCAGCTTCCGGGCCAACACTGTTTGGGTGGGGAGTCTTCCTCACCATGTCTACCACACAGCCATGGTTTATCCTGTGTAATACTGTGCTCGTCCTCAAGACTTTTAACATATGCAAGAATATCGTAAAATATTCAAAGTGTATCATTCATCGTCAGCATCTTAAGTTCCCCATTTACTATCACCCTCAATTTTATTGATGAACAATTGGCACAAAGAAATCACAATCAGCCAGGCAGGGTTACTAAAGCCAGCCGTGGATGGGAGGCATCTGCTAGGCACACTGCCTGAAAATATGCCTTGTTCTGTATCACAGTCTGCTCAGAACCAGCCAGGTTTTGTCACTTGAACTCTGAACAACAGCAGCAGCATTTTCAGGGCCAGGATCTTCTCCTGGACATGGCGCACAATCCATGAACTCTGGAGGCAGAGGGTCTGGGCTTGCTAGGTCATGTACTTCCATAAGTCATTCACCTGGCCTCTTACAAAGTGTAGCAGGCTGCTGTTCAGAGTGTGACACATCTAAGGGACTCAGAACTGTCACACCTCTCCCCAACAGAGGTCGTGCTTTACTCAGAACCTTCAATTTGTTTTTCTTCCTGGAGTATCATCTTCCCAATTCTGCCTGTCTGTTGAAACAAGTTTTCTTCTCCACTGTAGAACCCTCCCAATCCTCCTGCTGACCCCTCAGTTCTTGGTCTTAGGATATTTTTTTGTTTGCTTGTCATTTTAGATTTTTAAGCTACCAGGAAGCCAAATCAGCTTACTCATCACGCTTTCCAAAATAGCCCAGGTAGTTTTCGGTAGATTGTATAATAAAGTGGTTTCATCATTCTCTGGTCCTACTGAAATGCAGACTTCAAGGATGAGACTCTCAGACTGTGTCAAGTGCTTTCTAAGCAGCAGAACGTTTAGTAACAGGTCCACAATGTTGCCATTAGATTGACATGCTCTGTGTTGATGCCACAAGCAGGGAGCCAGGCTCAAATGGGATTAGACAGTTTATCAATCATACAGAAAACACACAGGAATGCAAAATGTCAGTTCCCAGTGCTCCTAGCGTTGGAAGACGATACTGAACCAGCGGTGGTAGGTGACAGAGTATAGAACACGCTGCTATTGAGAGCGAGCTCTAATCACAGCTGAGCAGAGGTCACACGGGAGGCTGTGGCTGAGTAGTAAGGAGATAAAGCCGGAAGATTTTTACTCAGCTTAAACTAGTTGCAGGATATTTGATCACACTGTGAACCTCACGATTGTGGATGGAAAAAAAAAAATCTGTTTCTTGTTGTGGTGTGGCTCAGCTCTAGCACATACCTTTAACATAATAGCTAAATAAAGCCAACCACAGGTAGAGGTGGAGCAAGCAGTTGAAAGGGAGAGAACAGAAGAAAACAGAAAGAAGGGACACTGAGTCAAGTGGTATTTAAGACAGCGTGGAGAAGGAGAAAGGGCTTTTTTCTTCTTGGACATTAGTGGAATAGGAAGGTCAGCTGGGTGCTTTCTCTGCCTCTCCAAGCTAGCAGTTTTCACCCCAGCATCTGGCTCCTGAGTCTTTATTAGTAAAATTGAAAGTTTGAGATTTTTGTTTAAAACAACATGGGACAAAGGCAGGCTGGTTGTGGGTGTGAGAATAGTGCTATGGACACAAAGTCACTGCTTCTAAAAGATGACCCTGTCCCTTTCTCTGTGGCCACCCTCTGTCCTGTCTGCTCATTTCAAGTCTTTGTTAGTGTCATCAATACGGTGCCTCTGCCAAATGTTCTGTCCACATTCAGCCCAGAGCAACCCAGATTTATGCTTTGAGGAACACAGAACATTTCTCTTAGGTTCAGTTTATTGTTGTGATATAAACTCCACACCTGTACCTTTGCTAATGCTGATTTCCAGCATGTTCTCTTGCCTATTATATCCCCCTTGAAGAACTGTAAATTTTATTTTCAAAATTTGCTGTTTTTAAAGCAGGCTTTGAGTGTTTATACAGCAGGAAAGAAACAGATGTGAACAGCTTTGCATTTTGGATTTTTTTCCTAGTAAATAATGAATTTGCTAGAATAATGAAGAGAAGAAACAGCAAACATTTAAGGAAGAACGAAAACATTAGACATGCTCTTTCAGAAAGGAAACTCTAAAGCTGGGAATTACAGGTCTTACTTTAATAAAGAATAAAAATTATTTAAAAGTAAATCACAAGTACCAGTCAAACCTTTATTTATCCAGGAATGTCTTATTTTGTCTCTAGGTTTTTACAATATTCACTAGGTTTAAGATTATTGATCAATGTAATAAAATTAATTTCATTACATTATGTCCTTCCTCTTAGGGATTCTAGCGCTAATGTCATGTCTCCAAACATCCAAGAAGAGAAATGACCCATTACCACGTATAGATATTGTCTTGTTTCTTTCTGAAATATAAATTCCATCCTAAATATTTTAGTCAGGCTTCATTCATTTCCTATAAAGCCAAATTCAGCAATTTTTTTTTTTCCTGTGAGCAACCAGAGAGTAAGCTTCTTGGCAACACATCCATGAGACACGCAGTTTCTCTGTCACTTGCCATGTGCCGATGGCAGCTCTTGACAGTGTATAAGTACATGTGGCACAGAGGAGGGCCAACAAGACTTTGTTCCCAAAAGTGGTCCACAGGCTACAGTTTGCCGGCCTCTGTTTTACATGCACCACCTTAAGAAACCACTCAGGCTCTGCTCAAACTGTAAGTGAGCACACTTTTCATACCCTTCATTTCTTCTCTTTCCACTTGAAGCTTTTACCTTTATTTCAAATGTTACTTTAAAATGTGAGATTTCTGGTATTTTCTTGGTAGAAATCTGTGGTGTGTCTATCTCTGAAAGTTCCTGGAAAGAAACATCTTACCTTTGATAAATAACATTTAAAGGAATTTCCCCAATATTTCATCCTTTGAAATTCTGCAGATCATCAGCCACGAGAAAACTCTTGATCTTGGTTGTGGCAACAGGGGCACCATGTAAAACCAACAGCAGGGCATGGACCAGTGCTCAAGCTGCGTAGACAGGGTTGTCGTC